CAGTGCAACTGGAAACAGGGTTGTGGCCAGACACCACATCCTGAAGACAGCAAGGGGCTGACAAACCTTGAACAAACCACAGGTTTGAGTAACCAGGTTGTGCCTCATTCCTCCTTAAGGCAAACACTGGCTTGAATGTGCATTGAACTGGACAAGACTTTCCACTGACCTCTTTTTACAAAAATCATCATCATTACCTTGTGATGTTTGAATGTGGATAAAATTAGGCAGGTCTTCTTTTTTTTTGGCGGTGGGGTGGGTGGGTGGGGTACTGGGGATTGAATTTAGGGGCACTTGACCGCTGAGCCACATCCCCAGCTCTATTTTGTATTTTATTTTCAGACAGGACTGCACTGTTGCTGAGGCTGGCTTTGAACTCGTGATCCTCCTGCCTCAGTCTCCTGAGTCGCTGAGAATACAGGTGTGCGCCACTGTGTCCATCCAGGTCTTCTCTTCTTGCACAAAAGTGTTCCAATGCCCTGAGCTCCTGATTGGTCAGACAGAATATTTACAAAGCCAAGTGCAGCCAGTTTAGACAGAAGCTCAGATAGCCTAAAAATAACTTTTGAGTTGAAACACAAAGGTTCAAAGCTGTCCTATGTTCTCTGGTTTCTGACTCTGAAGGAAACTGATAAAGGCTCCTAATTCTAAGCCCCCAAAACTGTGGTGACTCAGGAAAGCGCTCATGTACCCTTGCTGTTTGTATACAGCCCACCAAAATGAATGATGAAGTGCCTGCCCTTTAGGCCACTGTCACTGAACCACACTCCAAAGGAATTCTGGGGCCTGATTAAATATTACAGTTAATACTCACACAAGTATCAAGGAAACTTAGCACAAGTCAGGACTTGAATTGTAGGAAACACTTCAGGAGGCAGAATGTGAGGGTCAGAGCAGAACACTTAGGAGATAAGTATTTGGCAGGTGATATAGGAAGTAATTCAAACTGAGGCAAGAGTGTTCAGACTCTTACAACACAAGTAGAACTTCAAAGAGAAGAAGGATGGGAAAGATGAAGAAGAACTAAAGAAAACTCCCACTGATCTGAATAGGAAACTCCCAAGGGGCCACTTTTTACAGAGACCCTGCAAAATACTTTATTATTCTTGACATTTCAAGTAATATTTTTGTTAGTCTTGTATTTCCTGGTACTTCATTCCTTTTCTATCAGATACAACAATATTTCCCGATTTCTTAGGAAAATGTAAATAAAACTTGTTTTTTTTTTTAAATTTCAATTAGGAACACAAAATCCCTTAAATCATGAAGAATTTATACCGATGTTGCTGGATGACAAGTTAGCTTAATGAAGCTCAGGGCTTTCAAAGAGTGAAAAACAAAATGGCCTTTATTTCTTCTATAGTCAATTTCTGCTGCCTCAGAGTCTAGAACAGGAAACTCTGCCTGAATAAAATTAAAAGTACTTGAAACTGAATCCTGGTTTACTTCTCCTAAGTATCATAAGGTGCCATTATGGACCTGCAAGGAAAGCCAGTAATTTTTGCTTTCCAAGGCAGAGAAAGAGGTTATTTGACAGCTACCTGACTAGTTGTGTCTACCTTCCCCAAGCTACTTAACCTTTCCAGCCTCCATCACCCACCTCCAGGGCTCTTAACTGTAAGATCCCTGGCTCACAGTGGTCTCTCACCAGGTGTTCTCTTCTTGTTCCTCCTTTTGCTTTCACAAAGCCTTTCGGAATCACTTTGACTCACTGTTTCCTCCCTAGAAAGGGCAGCATTTGAAGTCTGTATCACACATCACATATGAATCTAAATTCGTGGCTTGCTTGTGGAATCTCGTTCAAATTTCCAGAAATCCTAAATTATTCCATGGCGAACAGACTGCTTTCTGTGACCTCCACATGCCATTGAGAACACAGAAGAAACACTGATGAATATTTGTTGAGTGAATTGCACTGTTTAAGAAAAATAGAGAGCACCAAAAATCAAGATTCTTAAGGAGGTAACAGCTCTTGGGAGCTGTCCTTGGCAGAGTCATCCCTCCCCCCACTCCATCCCTGCCCCTTCCTTATTCCCTTTGTCTGGCATTCTAAATTGGAAAGAAAAGCAGCAGTTAAATCATTGAGATGTTAACTGCTACTTAACCTTTCTTGAGATTTACAAAACCCAGAATATTTGGTGATCTTCAGTGAATGAGGAACACCCTTCCTGATTCTTTGATTCTATGCATCAACTTACACAAAACATAAATTGTTGTGATGTTAAACTTGAAAAAAGTAATATGTTTGTAACTAGCCCCAGGAGGTCAAGGTCTATTGTGACATTCCAGTCAGAGGGAGTGAGGGAAGGAGACACAAGCCCAAGAAGACACAAGCCCAGCCACCCCACCTCCACCTGCCTGCTTTGTAAAAGCCTACCAGCCCATTGTCCCACTACATTTGCATTCCCTCCTTACAAAAGCCCTTTTGTGTACCCTAGATGGAGCTTTCAGCAAGGTAACCCCATCAGGGCTGGCTTCAATAAAACCGATTTCCTTTCCATCAACTCCCACTTCCCAAGTCTATAGACAATGAACTGACAGACCTGGGTATGGTAACAAGAACTGGCAAAACTTATACCTATTCAGGTGCTTTAGTTCAATAAACGATCTGCCAACAGTTCTGACTTTGGTTCAATGACTGCTCACATCTGTGGTAGATGTTAAGATGATCATCTTAACATGATCATTATCTACTGATATTTACTCTTCTTGCAACGAATCAGGTCTGGCTCTGGGTGACTAACAGAACATTGCAAAAGTGACAAGTGTTGACTTCGGAGATGTTTGTTTCTCAGGGTGTTTCTCAAGACTAAATAAGAATTGCAGATAAAAGCAAATAGCAGGAAGTCTGGCTCCTAGGAAGCTCTTCTGAAATATGACACTTTATGGTGGTGATGTGAAAGAGGCTCTAGTAGCAGTGAGATGTGAATTTAGGATAAAGAGAAGCCCTGAATCTTAAAGGAAACGCCTGGAAGCCATTGAGATGTAAATCTTGAGATGTAAATCTTGAACAACAGGCCCCAGGCCTATGCACTTGTGAAATGAGGGAGAAATACCAAGTGCAGGAAAACTGGCGGCTCCATCCTGGATCCACCTCCTGTATGGCCCCTGATATGCCCTTCCATAAATATTGGACCCCACCCCCTCCCCCAAGCCCAAATCCTGGCTGCTCCTCTGGAGACAGCTCATATTCTTGAATGCGTTATCTACCTTCCTAAATAAACTCTGTCTCGGCCTTTGTCTGGCTCCTGCTGAAGAACCCCGCTGCTACTGAGTTGAGTTCCCTCTCTCCACTGGGAAGCCTTGGGACCCTTCTCTGGAGACATCTCTTCTCTGGAGACATCTCTTCTCTGGAGACATTTCTTCTCTTGAGACTGTAGCTGGTGAGTGGATATGAGGCGGGAGGGAAGGAGAGGAATCCAGGAAGAGCCCTAGGTTTTTGGCTTGAATGACGGAAGGAGCCCGTGGTTGTGTATCATACACTGAGTTTTTGGGACAATGGAGGAAGAAACAAGGGCACCCTGGCCCCCTGCCAAAGATTCTTAAGCTCCAACTGGAAATATTAAAACGATCTTTTATTAATCACTGAGAAACTACATTCCATTTCCATTCTTTTCTAAATTACTTCAAGCTGCATTTTTTTTAACTTTGATGGTGTTAGGAATTGAACCCAGGCACACAGCTCTACCATTGAGCTACACCCTTAGCAACACCAGCTTTTGCTCTAAGTGATTCCTTCCAGGAACATGAGAAATTGCTGAAGTAAAAATTATGGGAATTCTAGAAACCAAATTTCTGCAGTCAATAGCCATGTACCCTGGATGAATCACTACTTTTTTTTTTTTTTTTTTGTACCAGGATGGAACCCTGGGACACTCAACCACTGAACGACATCCCCAGCCCTATTGGTATTTTATTTAGAGACAGGGTTTCACAGAGTTGCTGAGGCTGGCTTTGAACTCTCAATCCTCCTGCTTCCACCTCCCAAGCTGCTGGGATTACAGGCCTGCGCCACCGCGCCCGCCTAACTACTCTTAATTAAATGATGGCAAGCATTGCAAAGATGCCCAGCATCAGGACAGACTCCCGAAACTTCAGAGAGTTTTCACTTTTGCTTTAGAAAAAAATATTAGCAAACATCAGAGGGAATTTATGCAATAGACATGAAATAAGGTTTAAGTGTTGGGGGTTATGAGAAGTGGCAGAGTGCTTCTATTAATTTTAAATGATTTACTAATAACTAAAGTGTTCAGACTTGATAAAATTAGATTTCTGTTCTCTGTTCTCCTTTTCAGACTCCCACTGGTTTAACTACCATAGGAAGATAGTGCTTGAGGCAAGTCTGACTCCCCAGCTGTACACGCTAGGCTTTCATTTGGTTAGTAGTTCACCGACTGACTAAAAATATCATATATAAAATTGGTCTCATAATTCTTTATGTTGTAACTATTCATTTGATCTGAGGCCCACTTGCCACTTCGCAGGATTCTCCAAATTCATTGCAAATGCTCCAAATAACATACTGAACCCAAAGCCCAAGGTGCAGTCTGTACTGACAGGGAGCCTCTCTGCGCCTCAGCTTCTTCAACCTTAAAACGAAAGATTTCAACTCAGACATGGTTATAAAATTCTAGCTCAGTTCTATGATGCTTGATTCTGGCAAGCTCCTCTTAAGAAAACTTGGAGTGTGTTTGCCTCTATTCTCAGTACAGCAAATAAGCCACCCAGAAGGGATATTACAGATAAGTTTATGAACACATTTGTACTAATATTTTATTGGGTTCCCTCTATCACTGTGTCACATAAAATTAAGTAGCTATGGGGAATTACACCTTTGAACTTAACTGCAGCCAATCATGCTTCATAAAGCTGAGGTGTAAGTAGTTCATGAAATAATCATAAGGAAGTAATATATCTACATATATATATATTGCACATCAACTTCCTCTCACTACAGAAATAGAGAAATGAGGGCTTTTTTTGAGGAGGTGGCTGCTACATTTACCGTAACTATTGAATTTCTTCAATGCTCAGTTTAATTTCCTTTTTCCCCCCACTGTAGCTGGTGTCAAGCAAGAATCTATTTACATTGACTAAGGATACTGGAAGCGTGAAGATCAGAGAGTTGTAAGTCTGAAATTTGCATCACGACCTTGAACCATATAACCTTAATTGGCATAAACAGACAGGTAAGGGTAATTATTTATTAATTATAGCTTATAAATTTGTTTTATAAGAACTCTAACAGGTATAAACTGTTTACACTTTGAAAAACTTATCATTAGGAAAGGTAATGAGTGTATTTATGTAGATAAATATTAGTAATGAATTGTAGAACTTACTTTTTTCATTTGTCAAATCAGTAGACACAATGTCTACACGAGTAACAGGCATTCGACTGAGGCAAATGCCGACTTGACATTTTCAGGAAAGCAATTCTGTATCTGTAACATGTCATTTTGACTCTATTTAAATGTAATAGTATTTCCCAAAATTTGAAAACAATTTAGCTAGTAGCTTTAAAAATCAATTTTAAAGGACAGGTACACAGGAGACACAAATTTGTGAACTAAACATTGTGAACTAATTATCCTTTGCTACCTTGAGGTTCCTGCAGAGACTCGCATCATCTGTCCTATGAAGCTAGCTTCTGCCAGAGTCTTTTACCTTCCTTTTGTTCAGGAGCATTTGCTATTGATATTCATAGTGAGGCACCTTTGCTTTTGCTGTTTTTAGTATGTTTTGTATTATCCACACAAGGCAGGGGCTGGTGTTTTTCTTTAATATCATCATGAAAGGAAGCTCCATTCCTTATGGAAAATCAAAATCTACTTTGAGCAGATAAATTTTTCTTAAGAAATAAACTGGCTCACTTCATTCTCTATTTGACTGATTTTTAAATCAGTGAAGTTACAGATTAGGTTTTATATAACTGCATCTACACTGCAATTCTCCAGATACAAACTCATTCTGAAGCATATGGACTGTTTTCTAAATAAAAAACACAACAAAATAAATTAAATGATGAAAACAGTGGTAGGTAGGCATCAATTAAGGGTCTCAGTGTTTGAACCTACTCTGCACAGCTCTTAAATTTTTGTCTTTGAGTGCGGATTGTGTGGCTTAAAAAGTCATTTTGAAATTATGATATCATATTTGGAAAAATGCCTAGTTTTGTAAAAATTGACATAATTTTAAAGCATAATTTTAAAGATGCAGAAAATTAATAAAACCATGATCTGAAGAGGGGTACAGACTAAAAAAGCCCTGAGGGGCTGAGGGCTGAGACTGGTGTATGGTAAAATTTTCATGCTTATCAAAATAGAACGCAATGTTTTTGTTTTGTTTTTTAAAAAATTGAGAAACCCTGCTGTAGACTGTGAAAGAGAATGTGGTGCCCCAAAAGCAATGGTGAAAAACAGAGAAATGTGGCACATTCTAAACAGAGATCATGATTTTTATTTGGCCAGAATCCAGTAACTTGTCTTTGTTATTATTGCCTAAAGAAAATAAGGAAATAAGGAGAAAAGTAAGAATGAAAATGGGCTTGTCACTCTTTAGCACTTCATGTGTACTCTGCAAGAAAGATTAAAAATAACACTTCCAAAAGCAAAAAACTACCTGCGTTTATCCTGTGATTAGAACAGCATATCCTCCAAACAAATTTAAAACTCTGAAGAACCCAGATACTAATTTACACATGAGGACACATGAGGGCACTCTAGTCAACAAGCACAGCAACTACAATTCTGACATAATTTTAAAGTCAATTTCTTACTGAAGTATGGCAGTTTAGCATTAACTAGTTGAAATGAGAAATTACTGATGCCCTTGGGCAATGATCCTCGGATTTTGGAGTCTATCCTTGGTCGCTATGATTTTCTTTTTAAAATTCAGGTTCTTAGTTTTTGTTGATGAGGAATTGAATTTACTTCTGAACTGTGAAAAGGGTCTCTTTATAGTACTGGATTATAGAGAAGTGCTTTAACCTAGCCAGGAAAACTATTTGCATGTAACTAATATATTTTAAAAAAACAGTCTTATCTTTTTGGTACTAGGGATTGAACTCAGGGGCGTTTACCACTGAGCTACACCCTCAGGCCTTTTCTGAGATGGTCTCTCATAAATTGCAGAGGCTGGCCTTAGACTTGTGATCCTCCTGCCTTGGCCTCCCCAGTCACTGGGATTACAAACTGTGCACTGCTGAGCCCAGCTTATCTCTTCTTAAATGTGGAACAAAATACTTTGGTAATACCTTCCTTTGACCAGCATGTATTGTTGCATTTACCTTAATTTTTTTAAAATTACATTTCTAGGCAAAATGTGTCATCACTTACTTATACATTGCTTTATGATCTAAGAACTGTAAATTCTGTCAAAGTCAGGTGATAAATCTCAGGCATTTATATCCTTGCATCAAATTTTGTTTTTTTAGACAAAAGCACTATCCATCATAATAAGAACACTCCATTTGTATTTCAACTGGACAATTGTGATTAGAAAAGGTAAGAAGCAAGCCATCTGCACGTTCTTTTTCCATCCAATATATTTTGTAACTATTGCTTTTTTTATGATCTGGCTTACATTCTATCCATAATTTGAATATTAAATATCTGCAATTCTGTTCTAGCTCCTGTGACAAATTCCAAAAAATCTGATATAAATGAGGAACAATTCAACATGCATTCAACCATCTATGATCTCTTCCACGGCTTTGCCAATCACTTATACCTTGCTTTGTATTGTTGGTCTCTTTGGAAACTCACTTTCTCAGTGGGTGTTTTTAACAAAAATAGGCAAGAAAACATCAACGCACATCTACCTGGCACATCTCGTGACTGCAAACTTACTTGTGTGTGGTGCCATGCCTTTCATGGGTATCTATTTCCTGAAAGGTTACCAATGGGAATATCACTCTGCACAATGCATAGTGGTCAACTTTCTGGGAACGCTGTCCATGCATGTGAGTATGTTTGTCAGCCTCTTAATTTTATGTTGGATTGCCATAAGCCGCTATGCTACCTTAATAAAAAAGGATTCCATGCAAGGACCTACATCCTGTTATGAGAAAATATTTTATGGCCATTTATTGAAAAAATTTCGTCAGCCCAACTTTGCCAGAAAACTGTGCATTTATATATGGGGAGTTGTCCTGGGCATAATAATTCCCGTTATCATATACTATTCAGTTGTGGAGGCTACGGAAGGAGGAGAGAGCCTGTGCTACAATCCACAGATGGAACTAGGAGCCATGATCTCTCAGATTGCAGGCCTTATTGGAACCACGTTTATTGGATTTTCCTTTTTAGTAGTACTCACGTCATACTACTCTTTTGTCAATCATCTGAGAAAAGTAAGGACCTGTACATCCATTGTGGAGAAAGATCTGACTTACAGTTCTGTGAAAAGACATCTTTTGGTTATCCAGATTCTACTCATAATTTGCTTTCTTCCATATAGTATTTTTAAACCCATTTTTTTTGTTCTGCACCAGAAAGGGGACTGCCAGCAATTGAATTATTTAATAGAAATAAAAAACGTCCTCACTTGTCTTGCTTCAGCCAGAAGTAGTACAGACCCCATTATATTTCTTCTATTAGATAAAACATTCAAGAAGATACTATATAATCTCTTTACAAAATCGAATTCACCGCATATACAACCATATGGTTGACTTCTGGATGGAAAATGCCATGAAACAGGAAGTATTCATGTGACTCTGTTAGGGACACTAACCTAAATGATTAACATGTCATAGCTTGGTTGATGGCAGGCACCAAGAAAGCCTCTCTGTTTTTTAAAAATAAGTAAATATATCCATAAAACTCGATTTCAAGTACTATTTATGCTGAAAGTTGAGATGGCAGAGATTTTAAGAGGTGAAAGTCAAACACACTGAAAGGATACCACTGTATATAAAACCAACCAACCAACCATTTTCTGTTTGACCTCTATTGTGGATCTTCTGTTCAGAACACAGTATTTCATGACTGTAGGATAAAGAAGCAAATGGTTTATGGATGTCTGCTTTATATGAAGAATACAGGAGTCCACCTTAGAATGCAAAGGTTAGCATTTGTTTGTTGGTAACATAAAAAACTTTAGGAATGAGTACAAGAAAAAAAAATCAAATAAGAAATGTCCTCACTTAAGTCCTATCAAAGTGCATGAATAATATAGTATAAAAATCCAAGGTTTTATAAACACTTTTATTTGAAATTATTTGACTCATATTACTGGGAGAGGCAATATTCATTGAGCAGATATTACAAATATGCTTAAATATTTGGATTAGGCTTTGTCAAAATAAAAAGCTAAAATAATGTCATATGCCCATTTTCGTCACTTGTGTATTTTCCTCTATATCTAATATAAAAATGTTACTAATGATTGGACTGGGATTGTGGCTCATCAGTAGAGTGCTTGCCTAGCACGGGTGTGACCCGGGTGCGACCTGGGTGCAATTCTCAGCACCACATAGATTCTCTCTCTCTTTAAAAAAAGTACCTGGCACGTAGATATGTTCAATTAATTTTGTAAAGTGAATGTATGATAAAGCAGTTAAAAAGATTGGTCCCTAATTCAGACTCCCTGGGTTCAATCCTGGTTCCATATCTTATTTAGCTGGACAATCTTAAGCAAATTACTTACCCTTTTTACATGTTAATTTCTTCATTTGTAGATCAGAAAAATACTACCTTATTCATAGGTAGTATTTTAAATCAGATAATGTTGCTTGGCACTTGCTATGTGCCAGGTACTTTGCTTACATGCTTAACGTATTATTTTAATCATCACAACCATAAAGTATGCCAATTTACTTGCTGATGAAAAAACTGAAGTGCATAGTTAAGTAAGCCCTGATTTGAGTAAGCATTTCTTAATGGTCATTTCTTTCTTCCATGTAAATCTAGTCAGTAAGACAAATGATGGTGACTGCATTCTGTTATCATATACATTATAATTTTAAAAAAAGTAAATGTGTTTGGATTAAAAGCATCTTTGGAGTTATAATCAGTTTTCTATTTATCCTCCCACTGTACTTGCATTCTCTTTTTCTGATAAGAAGCAAACGAAAACAGTTGAACAAATTCACCCATTAACTGTAACTTACTACTTTGTTAGAAACTGCTTCAAGATTAACTTTTTTCTCCACATGGTAATTCCTTCAGTGATCAAGGAGAAGTTTAAAGTAAGTTCACATGATACTTCCAAGTCTTTAATTTCATGTTGTGTTTTGTTCCTGAATTACAACTGTAGAAACAATTCACTGTATAGATTCTCTAAGAGCCATGTTTAAAATCATTAGAGGTGGTTCTGACACTTTTGTGTGATTTTCATTAAAAACCAATACTAAAAAAGTAAATATTTGTTTTCCTTTTTATTTCAGTGTTTAACTGAGAGATTAAAATGTTCAGAGAAAAGTCTGAACACATTCCAGCTTTCAGTATTTAACAGAATGTATCTAGTCTTTTATAGTAGCCATCGGATTTCTGGTTCAGTAATTTTCAGAGACAGAGAAGACCTGGAAATCCTAAGTGTATGCTGGCTGTAAATGGAGGTGTCCATTCTAGTGACTTTCTAGACATGTGAATCAGAATAACTCAAAGACCACCACAAAAGTTCCTGAGATGCCCAGATTTTTCCACAGTTATAATAAGCAATAAGAGGAACTGAGATGATTAGTAATTTTCATCTGACACTATACTATATTAAATTTCATTGTACTTAGGAGTTTAAAAAATACGTAGTTTCTAAAAATAATTTTAAAAAATCACTTTATAATAAAAGATGTTATCAAAGTAGAGTTTCCTGGGCTGGGGCTGTAGCTCAGTGGTAGAGGGCTTGCTGAGCACACGTGAGGCACTGGGTTTGATCCTCAGCACTACATAAAAAACAAAGGCATTCTGTCCATCTACAACTAGAAGAAAGTTAAAAAAAAAACAAAAAAAACCCAGTTTCCTACATTTAAAAAGGCAGCAAAAACGGTGTGCACAATTTCTCTGAGTTACTTATTCTTTTCATTGGTCCTTTTTAGTTATACATGACAGATTCCATGAGCTATCTTATTCTAATTAGGACTGCATTGTGGATGTACACAATGGTGGGATTCACTTAGTATTTCAAATTATTCATTCTGATAGAAAATGCCATGTATTGAACTATATACTGAGCTTACATATTATAATCATTTTTTATTTTGAAGTTTTTATGATCATGTTTATCTTTATACCACAGATGCTTCCCTAAACAGCAGATTGTAAACCACGTTGAGTTTTTTTTTTGTTGTTGTTTAAATGGAATTGAAAAATTGGCTATTTAATGTCATAAAAAATCCTTTTCTAAATTTACTCCAATTTTAAAGTTTGGATTTCAGAAAAATGATATTTTTAACTTATTTGTGAGTTGTAGTCAACCAAAATTTGGGATTTCAGAAATCCTGAATTTTGACTTACAGGTCAACAGGATTTTCTTTTAAGTAGGAAACAGACATGACATGTTTATTTCCCTTTTCATTCTTCCTATATACATACTCTCATTAAAGCAGATTTCAAACTATTAATCAGGAACACAAACCATTAAGACTATATAAACAAAATTCAGGATGACTACCCAACCTGGAAGTGAGTTTGTCCTCTGTGGGTGGAAGAGGAAGATGGTCCATCTGGTTCTAATTTGGTGAGGACTCTTGGCCTATCCCCTGCTTTGCAGATTGCAAGGGTGGAAGCTGTTATAAGTAAACATGTGAAGACCAGGGAAAGACAAGCTTGCTGGCAAATCATAAAAGGAACACAAAAGGAACATTGGTAATTTGTTAAGCATTTCAATTATGCAGCGTAATGCTTGGGACCTTCCTCTGATGGTCCCCAAATTCCAATGGAATTGATATCATTGGAGAGAGTTCCTATAGCTAGAAAGGTTTTACACCTGGCAGAAAAACCTCTTTGGCCACATGACACCACCCATGGTTCAGAAGAGAAGCAGTGAAAGGAGCCATTTCTAACAAGAAAAACATTTATCCCTTTCCCCCCATAAATCAAGGAGTTTTGGTATTTAGAAGGGTAGATGGGAGGATAAAAAGCATACATAGGAGTTAGAGATGCAAGATAAATATTAAAACTGTATTCAAACCGAAAGTGCACATCATATTCAACAATCTTACAGAAGCAATGCCTGAGAATTAACAGTGTGCTTTTGTTTTCAAACCCAGGGCCTTGTGCATGCAAGGCAAGCACTCTACCAACTGAGCTATTTCCCCAGCCCCAACAGTGTGCTGCTTATCATAAGGAATATTAAGTTTGGGTTATAATGAGAAAAATTTATTTTATAATAATATGAAGGACTTTGGGGAGTCATGGTCACAGATATCAACGAAATGTCAGCAACCAAAGGCAAGAGGAAGGACTACTTTAAGAAATCCACAATGCTGTGGCAAGCAGTGTTATATGATGAACAGGCATTTATAAGTCAGGCCATCAGAAGGTGAAAGGAGAACTGAGACCAGAAGGGGAGCAAAGGGCAGCCAGGCGTGTTGACACATGTTGTGAGGAAAACCATTTATAGGAAGCATACCCAGAAACAATTGGGCGGGAGGCCTCTGGCTAGTGCTTCCACAGTTCTGAAACTAAAAACTGAGCACCTAAACCTTCTGGGCATAGGCCCCATTCAAAATAGAAAGCAGTGTAGCAAGCAGTTGTGCTCCCAGAGGAGCTGCTTCACTTCAACTTCAGTTATTAAAACTGTACCTGAGTAGGTCAGAGTGACAGAAAGGCTTACGGAATGCTGAAGTTCTGCACATCCAGGTGGTGCCTTGAGGGGCTGCCTGCAAGAGTTAGGAGAGCCCAGAGAATTCCACAAACTGTGTGCTTAGCAGAGCCAGCAAAGGCAGGCAAGGAGCCAGCAGATGCATTTAGTTGGACGACTGTGCAAATTTTCTCCAAAGTTCTTTTAATTTAGGGATGAGAGGAAGAAAATAAAAACATAATGGAAATTTTCTCATCCTTTCACAAGAAAAAAAAAGAATTAAGGGAAGAAGATGACAGAAAAAAATGGAAATTTGCATGCATGCCTTAATTAGTGTCTGAGAAATATTATGACAATGGGTCTTAACCAGGGGCAATTTTGTGCCCCAGAGAACATTTGGCATGGTCTGAAGACTTATTCAGTTGTCACAACTGAGAGAAGATGCTATTGGCTTGGATGCTGAGAAGTTTTGCTACAAGGATAACCTTTCACTATAAGTGTCTGGTCCCAAATGTCACTAGTGTGGCTGTTGGGAGAACTTGTGTTATGATGACATGCCTCCCTGAATTTCAAAGAATTGTACCATTACTTTTTGTTGTATGTGGTACTGGAGATTGAACCCAGGGGAGCTTTACCATGGAACCACATCCACAGCCCTCTTAATTTTTTTAAAAATTTATTTTGAGACAGGATTTCACTGAGTAGCTTAGTCTATCCTTGAACTTGTGATTCTCTTGCCTCAGCCTCCGGAGTCTCTGGAATATAAAGGCATACACCACCATACCTGGCTTATCATTATTTTTAATGCAATTTCATGTGAAATTGCTTCTCCAAGCAAGCAGGTTCCATTACAGGTCACCTGGTCTGTACACTCAAATCTTTTTTTTTTTTTTAATTTTTTTGTACACTCAAATCTAACAATCCTTTTTAGACTCAAGTATGATGATTTCAAAAAGAAATGCCCAAGTAAAGAAAAAAGTACTATTAATCAATATAATGGTGGTACCTTTGAGAAACTGCATGCTTTTAACTCTTATGGTAAGAATTATGAGCATGGGAAAGAGAAATGCATTGTTAGGAAAGGTTTACAATGACCACTATGTGGGAATGCCTCCATAACCAGGTCCTCAATCAAACTAAGTTTACCTAAATTACCCAAGTCATATTAGTAAATCCTGTTGACACAATTTTTGAGATATATCTGGAATATAATTGCTTTTTTTTGTTTAAACCACTTCCACTGCTGCCTCTCTGGTCTAAGTTGGCTTGGGGAGGGATGCAGGGTGGAGGGGGAGGTTTGTGGCCTGTCTCTTTACTCTCCCCTTTGTTCATTTTGCCCCAGCTATACCTGCTCCTTGCTGTTCCTCTGCTGGGTTACTTGAGTTCGTGTCTTGGCACCTTTGCACTGGCTGTATCCTTACCTAGAACATTCTTGTCTTAGATATCAGCTCAGTCCCTCCCTTGCCTCCTTCAAGTCCTTGCTCAGATGGCATATTGTCCCTATTCTAACACTCCCTGGCCTTGTGGCCCCTCTTTTTGTTTCCCTGAGTCCTTTTCATATTCTAGCCTACCCTATAGTTTCCTTATTTGTGCTTATTGATTGTTGTCTTGGGCTGGGAGTGTAGCTCCAGGGTAGAGGCCTTGTTTAGCACATGTGAGGCCCCAGACTTGATCCCCAGCACTGCAAAACCCCAAACAAACAAACAGTGATTATTGTCTCTTCTGAACTAGAATGTCAGTTCCAGAAGGGCAGTGATTTTTGTCTGCTTTGTTCATTGATTAATTTCCAACTCCTAGGACAGTACCTGCCACACAGCAGGCTGTCAGTAAATATCTTTTAGATGAATGTCTTAAGAAAATACACCAAAATTCAACATTGCTGATTAAGTAAATTGTGAGTATTCCATTTACCTATGCAAAATGTATAGATTCCAGGTACTGAAATATCAAGAATATCAACATTAATATGCACTCTGTGTTGAGTCTCCCTGCTGACTTAAAAAAAAGGTGTTTCTTATTAATTTGCAGTTTGAGAATGACTTCTTTTTCCTTCCTCAGCAGGATTCTGGGTATTTCCTAAAAATTATTTGGCATGTACTTTAGAAATAATAAACTAATCCAATATAATCCAATGCAAACCTGAGGTCTTTGCACACACTGTTCCTTCTCTATGAAATGTCCTCTTGTCTCCATGTAACAACCCCATGACTCAAGACCAGGCTTCAACATGACCTCCTCCATGAAATCCCTCTACCTTGTATAAGAATTATTTGTTTTCCTGTTTATAAAGATGACCACCAACAAGTTCTTCTGTTTTTGTGTATATCCGCACTACTCCAAACAAAAGATGAAAGCAGTGGAAGAAGAGGGTCAGTGAGGGAGGAGGAGAGAAGAAGCGGAAGTACTAGGGACTGAACTGGAGCACATTATATTCCATGCATGTATGATTAAGTCAAAAAGAATCCAAGTATTATGTACCACTACAATGTACTAATAAAGACATTTTAAAAAGATGAATCTATTTTTCCTCCCCTTGAACCCAGGTTAGCCTTATGATCATTTTGGGGGAAGGGGGATTGAACCCAGGGGTGCTCTACCACTAAGCTGCATTCCCAGTCCTTTCTTTCTTTCGTTTTGAGACAGAGTTTTGCCAAGTTGCTCTGGGCCTTGCTAAGTTGCTGAGGCTGGCCTCAAGCTTGCAATCCTCTTGCCTCAGCCTCCATAGTTACTGGGATTACATGTGTGTGCTACTGCATTTGGTACTTGATGACCTTTTTTACGACTGATAGGATTAATTGAATGCAGAGGATGTGACACAGTACAAATTCCAGATCCAGGTTTCAAGAAGCCTGGCAACTTTCCTTTTTGCTCTTTTGGAGCCCTGAGCCACTCTCCTGCTGGAGAAGGGGCCATGTGGAAAGAGTAAGAGAACTCACTGAATGAGAGACAATGAAGAGGGCCTGTCTAGCTCCCCCGTTGTTCTAGTCTGCTCAGCTGAGATGCCAGAAAACTGAGGGAAGCCTGTGTGGAAACTAGCCACGCTGCCTTAGCCAATGGGTAACAGAACTAAGCTGTCCCCACCGAACTCTGCCCAAACTGCAGAACCATGAGTAGATAATGACAGTTGTTGTTTCAAGTCACTAAATTTTGGTATGTGTTGATCTACAGTAGTTGATGAAAGATACACTACCTTATCTCCTTCCCGAGACCATAATCCTTTTAGGTCTCCAAGCACAATATTCTGCATGAAGTAGGCGCTCAAATATTTGTTGAATAAATAAGTCAGAATATAAATTAGAAGGAGAAGTCAAATATAACTACTTTTGGATTTTATTTGGTTTGGAGTTGTCATTATAGCAAATATCATGGCTAATCAAAAGCTGACTATGTTATTGAAAGTATTCCAGTGGCGTGCATTGTCAATCATGATTTATTACATCTTGCTGATACAATTATCTTTCAAGAACAGAATTCATGCAAAACGAAATTGCCTCTTGAGTGAAACAGTTCTAACCCAATGCTATTACATCATTTTTTGGAATATATTTTATAATATACATAGATATATTTTACTTTATATGTACCTTCTCATACTCATTAAATGCAAAAGAATCACACAGCATGCTATTAAATTTGATAACTCCCCTCCCTCTTTACCTTCCCATACTCCTTACTCTGTGGATAACTGACAAATTTGTTTTTATAAAAGTGGTAGGCAACCATTGGTTTGTTCAGTATTGCATTCTTACAACAGGATCAATTTCCTATCACTATATTTGAAAAGAACAAATAAGATACTATACACTAACTTACACTAATATGTATTTTGTACATTCTCCAATGATTTTCATTTGCTGTTTTAATATTCTACGAGCTGGTTCTGGAATTGCTCATGCTTTACCTCAGCTTTTAACTATAAGAATTTCTGTTAAAATAAACTCTACTTAATTTTTTTAGCCATTTAAAATACACTGAAGAAGCCAGGACTTTAGTAGTATGAAGGAAGAAGCACCATGTCTCTGGGTGCTGGGGGTTAGAGAGAGGCCAGCAACAAAATATCAAGAGTCTGAAAGTAGAGCTGGAGAGACCTAAGAGGCTCCCTGTTGAATCTCAGTCTTGAAGGGGCTGGAGGCCAGGAGAAGGGCTCACTGGTCCTTTCTGGATTGCCTCTATATTTTGGTTGAAAATGTTACAGAGCCAGGGACTGAGAGTTCTCATTAACTTGATACTAGGATGGAATGGGCAGAAAGAGTGAATAATGATCATACTTATATTCTAAGGGTACAAACTATATTGCATCTATAATTATGATTTCACATTATGTTTAAAAACTACCTGCAAAGAAAATGCAATGCTGTTTTACATTGCAACATTATGAAAATGTAAGTGTATGGTTAACTTTTACTACATTAACCAAATTCTAATTTTCCCCTCAATTAACTCACTATAGGATGGAGTTTCATTTTTCCTATTTGTTGGATTTTTCATTTCTTTCTCTCACACAATGGCAAAAGAGGAATAATGAAATGTTAGATTGTATGCAATCTTTAATAAAAAGAAGGAAACTGAAATTATAAGGTGTTCCTATTAAGAATCAGTATAATGACTTTCTCAATATAAAGTAGCTAAATACCTTTTTTATTTGCAAATAAAATTACATGTAAGATGTTCTCTATGAAAGTATTAAAAATTTCTGATTATTATCATTTACTATGTCAATTTCTCTTCATAAAATTAAAATTAGTGATAAGAATGACTTACCTTCACATCTCTGTGAATTATGTTATTATCATGACAGTAGCGTAGAGCTTCCAGTATCTGTCTCATGTAATGGCTGTAGAAAACAAAAGAAATTAAAGAAATTTAAAGCTGTAAAAATTTTTTATTTTTAAAACTTAATACACAGAGTCCCTAGTTCATAACTCCCACCTTTATTTTAGCTGCCTATAGACATCTTTATGTGAGTAGACAAGAAAGTGAACTTAATGAAAAAGTGGGCAGACTCATGAATGATGAGCTTAATGAAGAAATAACATGTTCTATATTTTCTAAGCCAGGTCAAGAGAATTTCATAGAGTTCATAAGTAAAATTGCTCTGCAAACTGAAGATTAAAACGTAAAACATGAAAAAACTTCTAAAACTCAATTCTATTTAGTTACACTGGATTGCTATTAAGTAAGCCGTGCACAAACTATCTGGAAGATTCTAACCAAAGGGTGGGGCCTTCTGTCTGCCACCACAGTGGACATTCTGCCTTGTTCCCATTTACCTCTGAGGACAAATGAGGGAAGAGCCTCCTATGTGTACAATTTCTCTTTGTAATCTAATCAGGTTTTAGTTGGGGCACTCTTGAACAAAGCAGGGTTAGTTCTAGGCCCATGTCCTGGGAAGTCTCAGCCCTCATATGGGCAGCTGGAGTCTGCTGAAATTCCTCCACTGGGGACAGGTGAAGAACAAAGAAGGAGTTAACATTTCTAAAAAAGTCATTAAAATGTGGAAACAGGGTCAACTAGCAACAGTGTGTGACCAAGAGTACAAATGATCTTCGACTTATGATGGGGTTGAAGCTGTATAAACCCATCTTAAGTTAAAAATACTGTAAATTGAGAATGCATTTAAACCAAGCATGGTGAGGTAGGAGGATTATGAGTTCAAAGCTAATTTCAGCAATTTAGTGAGACCCTGTCTCAAAATATAAAATAAAAAAGAGCTGGGAATGTGGTTCAGTGGTAAAGTGGCCCTGGGTTCAATCCCTGGATAAAAAAAAAAGCAAAAACCAAAACCCAAAAAAATATAAACAAAAAATTCCCCAAATCTTCGTTTAATGAAGCATCATGGTCCCTGCTTTACAGAGAAACTCAGCAATATATATGTTTGTGTTCACCTTCCCTAAGGATCAGGAAAGATGGTAATTCCACGCAAGGAAAGAACTGGCCAGCAATCTATTTAAGTGAATTTATGTATTTATTAAATAAGTATAATTATTTAATAAATAAACAAGTCTATTTAAGTAGGCATTATTAGGGGTGGGGAGTGGTGGAAGAAAAGGAGAGGTGACTCAGTCTACTCTCCTTGTCAACTCTGGGTAAAAAAGACTAATGCTATTTGCCATGCAGAAGACACCTTATCTCTGAAATGTCCTTAACAGAATGTTCCTGGCTAAGATTATCTATAGAAAATAGAACCTGGGATTTTTGAGGCATAGATGGCTTCCTGGAGAATGTCACATAAGCTATCCATCTCTCTTGGGTATAAAACGGAGATGTTTCATAATTGAAATGCTTCTCTGTGTATGTAGAATCCCACAAACCTTGGATAGAGACTTAATCTATTCTGGGCCAGGGTGCATTACTGATGCAGGAAGAAATGATGTGGAGAGCTATCCTTGACAGCCCAGGCCTCTTTCTGCTTCAGCTGAGCCTTTTGATTGCCTGTATCCTTGAAATTATTCAGTAAAGCTTGGTACTTGGTAAAAAGATCTCTCTGATTTGCAAGAGTTTGATTTGATAATCTGATTCCATATGTTAGCTCACTCCACAACTCATCACCCCTGAAAGGACAGAGGTAATCACTAATTGGGCTGTACTAAGTGCTGAGCAGATTTTTATTTGATGCCATGCTTTGATGCTCCTCTTGAAACTCAGCCAGTTGGGGAAAAACAACATTAGCAATTTCATTACTTGGTGTCTCAGAGTCTTCTTGCAGTTGGTCTCACTAGAATACTGATAAAAGCTGAATTTCCTAACAATGAATCTCAGAAACAGAAGGGAGAAAGGAAGGTTAGGAGTCATCTGGCCAGACACTGTACACAAAAGGAAGAACCATGTGCCCTTGTTACATGGTCATTGATGATCTGCAATAGGGAACATACCTAATAATACTGTCTGGGCCCTCTCCCCTGCTTTTTTAAAAAAATTTGTTTTAATTGGTTACATATGACTGTACAATGATCTTGACATATCATACATTTGAATCAGATATGTATATATGTGATTGCCTGACCAATGTGATTCTGCAACCTGTACACTCAGAAAAATGAGAAATTATACTCTCTTGCTTTTTTAAATAAATTGTATCCAAATCTCTCCCTGAGCAATGTCACTTAGTGGTCTCAGTGCTACTCTTTTATGGTCCATTCTGGAAAGTTCCTTTCATAAAATCACCATTTTAACAGCAAATACAAATGGATTTAAAAGTCACCAGGCTTTCATTTTGAAATATAAACATCTGCCCTTTCTATAAATCTCAATATTGGGAGAGACCATAGTATTCTTTCATTGTACGATGTCACCTTTGCATGATATCATCCTGCCCAGTCCAGTGGAAAAGAGAGGCTTGAAGTTAAGGGAAAGCTAAGAAAAGGTAAGAAAAAATGACTGGGGAACAGAGTAAAAGTAATACTGGTTTAATATCAGCTCTATCAACATATATGCCAGATATCCTGGTTACCATGGCTCAAAAAAGAAAAAAAATTATCTTCTTCCATTGAGGAAAAACATTTTAAAAGAATCACAATTCTGAATTGTTGGCTTTCCTTATTTTATGCTATGCTGCCCTTGGAAAATTGCAATATAGACAAGTAGGATTTTGGGGGGCGGGTACTTAGCCCAGGGGCACTTTACCACTGGGCCACATCCCTAGGCTTTTTCATTTTTTATTTTGAGGCAGTCTCACTAAAGTCTTGAAGGTCTCACTAAGTTGCTGAGGCTGGCCTCAAACTTGTGATCCTCCTGCTTCATCCTCCTGAATTGCTGGGATTATAGGCATGTGCCATTGCACCTGGCAAAAAGTAGCAAAGGCAAGTTACTTCAACTTAAAAATACACACAAATGCCAGGCACTGTGGTGCACGCCTGTAATTCCAGCGACTCAGAAGGTTGAGGAAAGAGGATCATGAATTCAAAGCCAGCCTCAATAACTTAGCAAGGCCCTAAGCTACTAGTGAGACCCTACCTCTAAATAAAATACAAAAGAGGGCTGGGGATGTGGCTCAGTGGTGGAGTGCCTGCCCCTGAGTTCAATCCTTGGTACCAAAAAAAAAAAAAAAAAAAAAAACCAAAACAAAACAAAACAAAAAACCAACCAACCAAACAAACAAAAACACCCAAACATATAAGCATTAATATGCAAAAGACTGATAATTTCATTTTGTCATATAAAGTGATTTACAGCTAGGCCACAAGAAAATCAGGATAGCATTGACTATTTTTGGTATTAGAGAAATTTTTAAAAAATTTTTAGGTACAAGGAAAAATATGAATTTACAATTGTGATAGGAGCCCAACAATAGTAAGTGGGACTTAAAAAGAGCATGACATAAAAGAGGGTATTTAGCTTTGGTTTTAACATGTTATCAGGAATCTGAAGAAATAATTATAGTTAAGATATATAAACTTTCATTTGCTGTTTCTCTTTAGCCCCAGTAGTGTAGAAAAGCAGCTTTCCTACAGTGAGCATATTCTTTACTCTATGCTATAGCCATGGTTGCTCCATCTCTGAGACTGGGGTCCTTGCTCCCTAGACAGGATGATTCAGGGCAATGAATTTGAAGACAGTCAAGTCATGTAGGGTTCAAAGTTGTATTTGGATGATCTCTAAGTTGTTTCCAGCTATGTCCTTCTATGATGCTATAATTATAAAAGGAATGGTAGGAGGAGGAAGTTGTAATCATTTAATATAACTTTCTCAAATGATAGAAGGTTTTAATAAATCCTAATAGGTTTGTGGGTTTGAACCTTTCAAAATATTATGGTTGGTGACTGAGGAGGGATGCTGGGATGTTGTACTCCATGTTTTACTGATTGATTGATTAGTACTGGGGATGGAATCCAGGGATGTTTAACCACTGAGCCACATCTCCAGCCCTTTTAAAATTATATATATATATATATATATATATGTTAGAGTCTGTAAACAAGTCAGGATGGCACCTGGCATTTTGCCAGGGGAATGTTAAGAGTTTGTAAACAAGTCTGGATGTCTGGATGATGCCTGGCAAAATGCCAGAGGGAGTAGTTTGAGAAGTAACAAAAGCGAGCCATTAAGTGTGGAGATTCCTTATTGGTTGACTGCTGTATCTAGTTTTTACTAATTAAGATAAGCTGTGTGAAATGTATAAATATCTCTGTTGTCCTACAATAAACAGCTGCTGTATCAATGTACACCCTCCCCCCTGTTATTTTGCCCAGCCAGCTGGGCTGCGGCATATATACATTTACATTTAAGAGACAGGGTCTCACTGAGTTGCTGAGGCTAGCTTTGAACTCAAGATCCTCCTTGCCTCAGCCTCCCAGCCACTGAATCACAGGAATGCACTACTGCACCACACCATGTTTTAAGCAGGCAACCCACTGGAGTGTAATTATGATCTGATCTAATATATCCAAAGCAGGTAGCTGTATTGCTTTAAATATATAAGCTAGTGGCCCAGTACTTGCTTGGCATCCATGATTTTTCATATTTATTTCTTATCTTGAGTCATTGGGTCTTTATAACAACTCCATTTAAGAACAACAGTTGCCATACACTGGCCTGAAGCAAATATATTCAGTAGAAAATGATTTTTTTTTGTTTTTTTTTTTACTGCTTTGTGTTTTTCCTTAGATGAACTGATCAATAGCAATGTAATATCACTAAAGGCAAAAGGAAGAACTAATGAGGTGCATCTGTCAAAGATCAAATATTAAACCAAAGAAACCCAAGTTCATTTCTACACATGGTTCCTGGGCTATCAAATCCTTCCTTGTATAAAAGCATCAGAAATGGGAAAAACAGCAATTCTGGTGTGAAAATGTAAACCCTGTTTTTTTTTAATTTTTTTTTTTAGTTGTAGTTGGACACAATACTTTTGTTTTATTTATTTATTTATTTTAATGTGGTGCTGAGGATCGAACCCAGTGCCTCACATGTGCTAGGCAAGTGCTCTAGCACTGAGACACAACCCCAGCCCTAAACCCATGTTTAAATAGACCAATTCATTGTTTGGTAGTTTGCACTTTGAGTTACTATTTGATTCTGTTAATGCATATTGAAAAGCTGTGATCCTTGCAGCCAGGAGCAGCGGTGCACTCACCATCCATTAGAAGAGCAGGTGGTTTCTTCATTATTACTTTCCTCTACTTTATTTCTGCAGACTCATTTTATTATTGTTTTTGCAGTACTGGGAACGGAACCCAGTGCCTTGTGCATGCTAGGCAAGCAAGTACTGTACCACTCATCTGAGCCACATCCGTGGCCCACCTCTGGGGAGTTAGATACAGATACATACCTGGCTACAGCTTCACTGTATACAAAACCAGCATCAGCTCGCTTTACGATTTCAAAGCATAGATCAGCTCCATCCATACTGTAGAGAAATGTAAAAAGGAATGTAAGAAGAAATTCCAAAAAGGCAACACTGAAAGTGAATACACTGTCATCAAGTTATTTGTTGACTTATTGCTAATGACTGTATGTTATTTAAATCTCCTTTCTTTCAATGAAAAGCGCATAAATTATACAGAATATTATAACCATCTTAACATTGAAAACGTGCAGGAAAAGTAACCTTTAGCAAGAGTAAGGCAATGGGAGTATCCAATATCACGAGGTATGGAAAACTGACTATAAATTTTCTTTTCTCTAATTTATCATGATAAGAAGTCCCAGAAAGGAGCAATGCTGGAGGCTGTGGACACATTTTGAGTCAAATTCTAAAATTACCGGTTTCTAGTCATGTAATGTAATACTTCAAGAATACAAAGATTTAAAACATTTTATTGTAGTTATCACCACACCAAATGGGAAATTTGAGCTATGTGTCGTGAAAGGAAAAAAGAATGAGCTGATCTATATTTTTGTTTACACTTCTGTTACCAAAGTTAATTGCTACAAATTATTCTAATACATTGATGTGATGGTGACACAGTGTTACTATCTGCTCTAAAACTTAGAATGGTTCTCTTTCTCACAGGATAGGTAAGATCTCTTGTGGTCTTGGCCACACCTGCTTTCTTCTATCTACCCTGTCCAATGGCATTTCAAGAAACCACCCTCTTTAGCAAGAATGGTCTTTTTAGCATTCCTTGAATATATCATTTCTTTTTCCTTTTATTTTTTGGACATACATGTTTGCATAAACTGCTCTTCATAATCAATAACTGCCTCGATTCAAATTTCCATTCCAATCCCACTTCTTACGAAGCCCCCTCAATGATCACCAGTTATATTAATGTCTTCCTTTAACAACCTACACATAGTCACAACATTTGGCATTTACATAATGTAAATACATATACGCATATATGCACATGTAATTATTGCTAGGTCATTACTTATATTAATGAAATTATTCACATATTAACAGGTACCATTTTCATGCTTTAAGCCTTACAAAATGTTTTCAAATCCAGTGGCTCAGTCTCCAGTATACCTGCTATAGGTATTATACTGAGGAAATAGAAACTTCTAGAAGGGAAAAAAGTCACTAACATACTTATTATGTGGAGCACTTCCTGTCATACCTCCCTTCAACTACCCCATGAGGTCAGAATCATTCTCATTCTCAAATGATCTGTGATTGGACAAAGATACAATAGGGACAGGATTAAAGTCTCTGGTAGCTGTGTCCAGTGCTCTTCTGGTTGACTACAGCTACACCTACTGGGAGTACAAAGAACAAACGCACAATCTCAGACCCTATAACACTTCAACAAGAGTATAAAGTTCTAAACAACAAGTAGGGTTTATACTTTCAACACACCCTTACCCAATACCCACCAGAAGACTGAGCACACAGTAGATATTTAACAAACAGCTGATTATATCATTTGGATCTTGGTGTGGTTTTATATAAATAAAAATACTTCCACATTTATACCAGGTTTCACAATTTTTACCTAGTTTCCATTTCATACCTGATGGACATTTTCCAATGTTAAGTAGGGTTCTCTCCAAAATGTATCTGAGGGCCTAGTCTACTCTGAAGTACTGTATCATCTGCTTCCTACCATCAGAAATCAAGCCTGGGTGAACCTTTGTGAACAACTCTGATTATCTGTGTAGTAAAATTCTTAGGTGTGGGAGTTGCTAGGTCTAAAGTATACATACAATAACATTTTCCATATACATACTACCAGAAACATTTTAAAATTAGAAAAAATTCATATTCTTTCTAGTAAATGTGGATGTGTCCTTTCCTCTATCTTGTTACCAATATAATGACTACTCTTTTTCATCTCTGCCAATCAGAGAGGAGAAAAAAAAAGTCATTTGTTATTGCTTTAATTTACAATTCTTTGATTACCACAGAGGCTGAATATTTTTTGTTTCTTTGTACTGTGGGAGAAAAAAACTCCTATTTTTAAACCTGGCTGCAGTTTAAACTGGCTAGTTGATCTATGAGGACTGAAAAAAATATCTCATAGTGAAGGAATTGGTTTTGTTTAGGTGTTTTCCTTTCTAATTGTGCACTGTGAAGATAAGCACTGTTCAGCTGAGAAGAGGAGTTGGCCAAAGGAGAGAGCCAAATTGATTGCATAATAAATGTGATAGTCTTTCATTGCTGTGAACAAAATATCTGATGAGAACTACTAAGAGGAAGAAAAATTTATTTGGATTAACGGTGTCAGAAGTTCAGTCTATGGTGAGTGAAGTCCATTATTATTGGCTGAAGGTGAGGCTGTGCATCATGGGGGAAGGGCCCAGTGAAGGAATACTGCTCAACTCAAGGTGGGATCAGGAAGTTGAGAGAGACAGAGGGTGGAAGGAGCCACAGGGAAGATACATCCTTCCATGGCATGCCCCCAATGACCCACCTCCTCCAGCCACAGCCCACATGAATACAATTACCACTCAGTCATTCAAACTAGGATGGACTGATTAGATCATAGCTCTCACATTCTAATCATTTCACTTCTGAATATTACTGCAAAAAACCAGGAGCTTTGGGGGGACACTTCCTATCAAAACCATAACAATAAAACATAAGAATCTGGGAGCTGTCCTGAGATCTACAGGAAGACTTTTTGGAGGGACCTAAAGGGGAAAAGAGGAAAGGGAAATGAGGGCAGGCATGTTTGCAAAGTGGTGAGAAGCCAGAGCCTATGGGGTAAATCAGTCAATTAGAAAAAACTGGAAATTATTTACTGCCCTGTGTTATAATTAATAGAACTGATCAATCTATTTTTTCCTTCTGATCATATCTGAAATACTAGTCCTTGAAATTACAATCTCTGCACATGCACAAATATACATGGGGTATTTTTAGGTTTCTCTTCCACTGACCTGTTTATTCTTGGATCCAGAATCATATCATTTTATCTTTTTTTATTTTTTGGTAGTGGAAATTGATCCCAGGGGCACTTTACCACTGAGTTACATCCCTAGCTTTTTCATTTTTTATTTTGAGACAGAGTCTCGCTAAGTTGCTGATGCTGGCCTCAAACTTTTGATTCTCCTGCCTCAGCCTCCAAGTAGTTGGGATTATAGGAAGGCACACCTGTCTTATTTTAACTACTGTAATGGCACTTTGTGATATTTGACAAAATACATCTCATTTCATTATTTTTTTCCTATGAATTTTTCTCTCAGATGAAAATTAAAATCATTTTGTTAAATTGTAAATCTTTAAAAATATTTTGACTAAGATGGTATTACATTCATTTATAAACTAACTTCTAGAAATTAAATTTTAAAGACATTTTCATCCATGAATATGATGTTTCTCCATTTCTTCTCATATCTCTAAGTTATAGCTTTAAGGTTTTCTTTATATTGGTTCCAAATATTGAATTATTAGTTTCTCTCTCTGTATATATATATATATATATATATATATATATATATATATATGATTTTTTGTGTGGTGCTGGGGATCCAACCCTCAGGCATGTTAGGTAAGCACTCTACCACTGAGCACATCCAAGCTCCAGCATTATATTTTAGTTGCATTATAAATGGGATCTTTTGGTCATTATGTGCTTTTTCAGTTCAGTGGTTCATAGCCAAAAGTGCCAAACAAAATCAGCTGTGTAAGTTTTTAAATATGTAGGCATGTTCGATGAAGGATTATTCTGAAGTCATTGCTGTGAAAGTCCTTTTATTAAAGCTATCTGATTAGTTATTTATAATATTAATTGATATTAAAGTAAAAAAGCGATCTGTTATTTTAAATTTCATGATACAGAAATAAAAACTAAAAATACTGTTACTTATGCAAATTTTATTCATCACAGAAATTTAATATGTACATATTCATAGTACAGTCCTGATATAATAACCTTGAACCTTTTAAACAAAATTGATAATTCAATTCTTTGATAAACTTTAATAATGTAATGATTCTTTAAGTAATGATAAAGCTTCTTTCATTTCTTTTTGTCTTTGGCTTCCTATCTTGGGGTGTTCCTGGGGCTGTCATGAATCTTCAAAAAGCAGGTTCTGAATTTCCCAGCTGTCTTCATTCTAAGGGAGTGAGATGAGAAAAAAAAACAAAACTCTTCTATGGGAGAGTATGGGGAGTGCCTCTTTATTGTATGCAGAGAGAAATCACGGGAGATTTGCTCAGAATTAAAAAAATGATGGGATTATGAATGAGTTTAGCTTTCCTTCTCTTTCTTCTATCTGAATTTTAAATATTTTATCACGAACATGCTTGTTTATATAATTAGAATATTATCCCAAGGCGAGGCATCAAACAAAGAAAATAGATCACAGGTCTGGAGGCACAAGGTATTACTGGCTGTACACTGAAGGGGATCAGAATACACCACCCTGAAATATACCACTTTGGCAAAGGATTATTTTGAGCTGAAGGCATAAAATCCTGTGCTGTTATTTTGCATAAATTGCAGTACAGTTTTTAAATGTTTACTCTCAATTTCTATACCTATCTCTCAGCAGACAGGTAACAGATGGTCATCTGGCATTTGTCTACAAACTATTCTTTGAGAAACACTGTTATTAAGGACAGATCAAACCTGGATTTGTCTGACCAGCATTTTCCCTGAAGATGACAAAAATAGCAACTATAGAAACTGGATGAAATTAGACAAAAAAAAATTGTTTAAGTCTTCAAAGTATTAACCGTACAGGGAATGAAAAATTACCTAGTAAGAACAGGGAAAGAAATTCAGAGAGGTTAGCAAGAGCTGCTTCTGCTCTGAGGGGTAGAGTGGGCTATGGAAAGGAGACAGGGGTGAGGGGAGCTTTTGGAGAACTCTGGTAATCAGATGAAGACTGACAGGGCCAGTTGATTTTTGCACCAGTGTGAGACTGAATGATTCTTTGGTGGACTTCTGAAGAGACTGACAAAGGCTAAAGCCCTGACAAACTATCCTGGCTGGGGCCATAGAGATGGATTTGGAA